GATCAGCTCTGACTAAAGCAGCAACATCAGAAATCCACACTCGCTTCCGTAACAGAGGTAGAAACCACTTTAGTACTTGATCCTTTGATTGATGCAACTGAAATAATCTCATCAGCACGGAACATTCCAATAAATGATATTTCTGCATCAACATTTTCTTCGATCTTCCTCATCTTATCTTTACGTACCGTTACCTTTTTTTTACTACACTACCGAGAAGCCCCTTCGCGGCCATAACAGCCCATGCAAAATTACAACTAGTACAGTTGCCAATGATACCAACGTTGGCGCAGCGTCGGCGCTTAATATCGGAAAATCATTGATTGATTGTAGGAATGATAACAACGAACCAATCATCATCCGACGATACTGGGAAATTACTGGGTTCATGAGACTTCAAGGAATTGTCTTTCGACGTCGATCCAGTCCAAAGACTAAACATTGGCGAAATACTGGCTATTATTTGCACTCGACACTTTCACTCATATTAACATTTTATTTAATTATAGTTAACGTAGGAAACGTATATTGTAACGTTACACATTGACCAATCTCTCAGGTACTCCTGTAGTGAAAGCACACTCGTGAGGAATTACTTGAACCTGTTGATGCACTAAAGATTGCAGCGATGATCACGAAATTCTCCGGGCTGTCATGAAATTGTTGAAGACATTTCGCGAGATAAAGATGAGCGCGAAGCCGTACTGTGTCTCGTTTCTTATATAAAAAAAGAAACGGCTGTGTGCGAAATTATAATTCAACTTTGGATGACGTTCAGATTTATCGTTGGACCAGTACTGGACCCACAGTCTACCAGCACTGAATCTACAACAGACAAATGATAGATTGACAATCGCCATAGTGCCAACGCTGTGCCGGTTTTGAGCAGTTGGCACCGTACCGGAGTTTCTACATGGGAAAGCTCTTGACAGCTACATCTTTTTCAAAAGATCAATTGTCAGCAGTTAGGTTGTAGAGTTTGGAACAGAGTTTTCAAAATTGATCTGCCTCAGAAGCAGAGGCCTCCACACAATCATTCTTTAGACTCAGACTTTACACTTCTAATAAACTTAAACAGCTGAAGCTGTTCATTACTGTTGTGCAAACATTGCCTTAGGAAAATACAAATGCGGTCAAAAAGAAGCGTGCAGATATTGTTACTATTTGGATATGCTGAAGAAGCATCGAACATCAAAGCGCGTCATATCCAAATATTGCCTACAGCTGACAGCTGTGGTAACACCTGTACTGCCATATACAGAACCAAATGACGAGCAACAGTAACAATTTTTTGGGCTCACACGTGGCATGCCAGTTCCAAGCACTTACAATCTAACATTAGGATGTAAATGTTCGTAAATTTCCAGTATCTTTTTTATATAATCAACGTGAACAACAATATTAATATTACGGATTACGGATAATATTACGGATCTATGTCCGCTGACTGTAACACGTATCACGCACAGCGGTGAAACAATACTCAGAGGAGAGATTGATCACAAAAATGCTAGAAAGTTAGCACGGAGGCACGACTGTACTTTATCAGCAACGACAGCTATGCTTACTTCGCACGATTTGACACAAACTGTTAATACATAAAACTCAAATATATATACATGTATATATAGTTTTATGTACACAGTAGGCAGAAGTTACGCATTTGATAAATAAACATTTCTAGTATCAGTAGCATATAACAGAGTTTAGAGTGATTTGTATCACACGTGTACCGTTCTTCTACTGGATAGGACAGGTAAAGAATACATTGTAATTAGAACTAACTCGGTTGTAGATCAGCGATTAGTAATGAATAAAACATTGTTCCGAACATAATTTTTAATTTATGATATTTATCATAGAATAGCAGGTCCAAGGAAAACTCTTATCATGAAAATTTTTCTGGGAACGGTCCTACTGTTGGCCGCCGCATCTACAGCTGCTCTTTTGGATGGCAACGATGCGATTGTTGACAATGCCAATACTACTAACTATAGATTGCCAAATAATTCAGTGCCAATTTCATATTCTATCAAATTGATACCGTACATCATCGTAGACAATTTTACATTCGATGGAGAATCTACGATTAAACTTGAGGTTCTAGAATCAAGTTCTTCGATAACTCTTCATATACTAAATCTTACTATAGACGAGAGTGTAACATCTTTGGTGTGCAGTGGTAATATAAACTACAAAATAGCCAGTCATACCTATGATACCACAAAACAATTTTTGATTTTGAATTTCGCCACCGTTTTGCCAACCGGATATTATACACTGCATTTGAAGTATGTTGGTATCCTAGACAATGAAACTTTGAGTGGTTTCTATAGAAGTTCTTATACGAACGACAATGGTGAAACTGTGTATGTATATCATAATTGTACATTAGTCTGTATTTTTTAATAGAGCTACATTAATTTATAAAATATGTTTCCAGCTGGTTGGCTACCACACAATTTGAAGCAACTGGTGCACGTCGAGCTTTTCCCTGCTGGGATGAACCTGCACTCAAAGCTACCTTTACTATTTCTATTAAACACGATGTTAACTACACGGCGTTATCAAATATGCCAGTTGCCAATCAATCGGCAATCGACACGACTGATAATAAAGTATGGACGACTTTCGAAAAAACACCGATTATGTCAACATACTTGGTGGCTTTTGTAGTTTCGGATTATGGATACGTCAGCAACGGGGACCAAAGATTCAGAGTTTGGTCTCGCAAAAATGCTCTTCGCGGTGCAAATTATGCATTGACTCGAGGAGAGTCGGATTTAAAATATTTAGAAAAATACACATCGATTCCGTTTGCTTTACCAAAAATGGATGAAATTTCTATCCCAGATTTAGTCTTCGGTGCCATGGAAAACTGGGGTTTGGTTACCTTCAGGTAATATCCTAAACGATTGTTGATTATATAATTTCATCTTACTTTTTATGATCAATACAGAGAACCTGAAATGCTGTACGAAGACGGCGTAAATACAACATTTACAAAACAAAATGTTGCAAAAATTATTTCTCATGAATTTACTCATCAATGGTTTGGAAATCTTGTCAGTCCATCCTGGTGGAAATATATTTGGCTGAATGAAGCCTTCGCGGGTTATTTTGAATTTTACATCACGGACCAGGTAAAATTTTAAAAAATTGTTCAACCTCATTGTTTAATTAATCACATTTAATTGCTTCAGGTGGAAGACAATTGGCGCTTAATGGAACAATTTATAGTTCGAATTCTACAAGAAAGTGCCTTTATAATTGATTCCTCCGAAACCGCCCATCCGTTGAATCAGGATGCATCGACTCCAGAAGAAATTGATGCACTGTTTGATTTCATTACCTATGACAAAGGTAAAACTATTTTTTAGAAACAATTGATTTACGAAAATAGTTCTCAAATAACGCTTCTTTGTGCACGTAGGGGCTTCTGTGATCCATATGATATCCAATATCCTGACTCCCCCCGTCTTTCGCGCTGGTCTCACCAGATACTTAAAGAATAAGTAAGTTTCTTAACTTTCAACAGAATCAAAGAGGATCATAATTATGATGATCCTGAGTTTATTTCTCAATATTATTTACAGTGCCTATGGGGCAGTCACGCCCGATGACCTGTGGAGCGCATTACAAGAGGTATCTGACGAATCTGAAATTCTGCCGCCTGAGATTTGCCTTAAAAAGGTGATGGACACTTGGGTCGACCAGCCTGGATTTCCACTGATCACTGTCACCAGGGATTACACAACCGGAACAGCTAATATCAGTCAGGAACGATATTTTCAATCTGGTGCTAGTGGTGACGGTACCAGATGGTGGGTTCCTATCAGTTACACAACTCAGTCTGATCTAGATTTTTCAGCAACATCACCTCGCGAGTGGATCCCTCAAGCGAAAGATAATATAGTCCTAAGCGGATTTAAGCCAACTGATTGGACCATGTTCAACATAAAAGAATCAGGTAGAACAACCCTTATCAACTTATACCAATGGTTGTTGTACTAAATACAAAAGTTACACGTGTCGATAAACTATTCAAAATCAATCAACAGGTTACTATCGTGTCAACTATGATGAAACAAATTGGAAACTAATAGCTAATTATTTGGACAGTGACAATTATGTAAACATTGACCCCGTCAATCGTGCGCAACTCATCGATGATTCTTTTAACTTGGCGGTTGCCAATCGTATTAGCTTTTCTACATTTTTGGATATTTCGGTTTATATTCGTCGTGATGTCGATTACATTCCCTGGTATCCGATGTTGACTGCTAATACTTTTTTATTCGAAAAATTAGAAAATACCAGAAGCTTCTCGTTATTCAAGGTACACATATGACTGTGACATAATTAATGTTGAATAACTCAATATACTTTAATCAGTTGTCACTTTTTATTTACAGAGATTTTTTTTGGAAAGTTTTGAAAAATCTATCGTTACTCTGGGATATGACCAGCACATGGACGATGACCATCTTATAAAGTATCACAGATCAAATATGTTTTCGCGTGCATGCACTCAGGGCAGTGAAGAATGCAGATCTAACGCAACTGCGAAGCTGGTTGCATATTTGAAAGATCCAATTGCAAACCCGTAAGTTATTACGTGATCGGTATAAGGATTTAATTCCACAAAAATCTTATAACACCATTTATTTTAGTATATCGCCGGATTTGATAGATACGGTATTTTGCGGTGGACTTAACAATGCAAATGCAACTGTCTGGAACATGGTTTTAGATCTTTACGCAAAGAGCCCCTCTCTCACCATAATTAATTATCTTGGTTGTTCCGAAAACAAAGAAATCTTGACGAACTACATGTCACTGGCAACAACAGAAAATTCAACGATACTCAAGGAGCATGCACCTGATGCGTTCACGTCCCTTTATTACAACAGCGCTGAGAATGTAAACTTCGCCTTGGACTACCTCATCGACAATTTCGACAAATTATATGCATTGTAATCAATTGTTTGCACTGTACCTTTTGAATTTTATAAACAGAATTATACGTGTACGAATTTTTAACTTGTTGCAGCTGGGACGCACCATCCGATATGATGATTAAGAATATTCCTATATACAGCAGCATACTGACAACAAGAGAACAACTCACGAAGGTTTTTATCTTCAACAATTATACAACCAGCCTTTTAATTTACAGCATACTATGCATTACTTATTCTTTTTTTTTATTAATTTTTTAGTTGAAAGCTTTAATCGAAAAGCATAGTGATGTACTAGGATCTATTGCAAGCACTGCAATAGCCAATACAGAAGCTAATGTCAAATGGACTGATACTTATGAACCACTCTTCTACGATTGGTTTAATAATTTCTATAAGGTGTAAGACGAAGAAACTACTTACACTGCCACTGTTAACGCTGACCAGCCCCAACACTCCAGCTAGTAAAGGCCAAGAGTCACCATGATTGTAACCGATACTAGACAAACATGCATTACGCAGTAGCATAATGCATCTAACGATGCAGTTGTCAGTATTCGATGCAATAATTCCATGAAAAAACTAACCGTCGAACGAAGGAGTCTCTGACGAACCCTCTTACGGAACAGTTATCCCTCTGGACTCTGAAAATTACTGGGTTCACGCAATTTCCAGAAATTATCTATAGATATCGGTCCAGTACCAAAGATTGAGCGTTGGCAAAAGACTGGCTATTAATTGCACTGAATACTTCCATTTCTATAAAATGTGTGAAATAAAATGTGTATGCAGAATAATCAGCTGTCAGTGTTACATTCTTGCGAATGCTTACGTATAGAGTTTACATTAATTCCTTTACTGTATTTTTATGATCAATGAGTTATTGTTCTACTGCATCTTGACTCTGATCCTCTGGCCCTGAATCTAAGCGACTGGTGAGTCTGGGTTAGAACCAGAGGCCTGCACGCACTCATTATTTCGGTGATAGACATAAACCGCTAAAGCTGTTCATTACTATGGTCCAGACGTACTCTTAGAGAAACACAAACGCGGACCAACAGAAGGGTTCAGATATTGTTACTTATTTTGACATGGTTAAGAAGCATCTAACTTCAAAGCAAGTCATATGGAAACATTGCCTACAAGTGACAGCTGTGGTGACACGTGTACTGACATATTCGGGTATAAACCTGAATTCAAGACGAGACAGCTGAAACATGTGACGAGCAAACGTAACAATGTTTGGTGGCCACACGTGGCACGCCAATTCTAAGCACAGCGGTGAAACGAAACACAGAGGATCGATTCAACACGAAAATGCTAAAAAATTAGCACAGATGCACGACTGTACATTATCAGCAAAGCCAACTATGCCCATTTCGCGCGATTTGAGACCAGCTGTTGATACAGAAGTCTGAAAAAAGGATATTAATTATATATATATAGCGTACTTTTATGAACGTTTGACAAGAGCTATACGTTTCACAAATAATATTTTCCAACACCAGTGGCATAAAAGAGACTTTCAAGTAACTTCATTCATACGTATACCGTTCTCCTACTGGACAGGACAGGTAAAGAATACATTATAATTATACCTAATTCCGTTTACATCATCAATTATTGTTATACAATAAAACACTGCTTTAAATATATTTTTTAATTTTATGGGATTTATTTGAAAAAGCAGGTCCAAGGAAAAGACTTATCATGAAAATTCTTCTTACAACGACACTGCTGTTAGCAGCCGTAATTACAGCTTCTCTTACGAATGGCAGCGAAGAGATTGTTGACGATGCCACTACTACTAACTATAGATTGCCAAACAATTCAGTGCCAATTTCATATTTTATCAGTTTGATACCATATCTCGTCGTAGACAATTTTACATTCGATGGAGTATCGATGGTTGAACTTGAGGTTCTAGAACCAAGTTCTTTGATAACTCTTCACATACTAAATCTTACTATAGACGAGAGTGCAACATCCTTGGTGTCCAGTGGTAATATAAACTACAAAATAGCCAGTCATACTTACGATACCACAAAACAATTTTTGATTTTGAATTTCGCCACCGTTTTGCCAACTGGATATTATACATTGTTTTTGAAGTATGTTGGTATCCTAGACAATGAAATTTTGAATGGTTTCTATAGAAGTTCTTATACCAACGACGATGGTGAAACTGTGTACGTATATCATTGCTTTATAGTAGTTTGTATTATTTTATAGAAATATATTAATTTGTACATTATGTTTCCAGCTGGTTGGCTACCACGCTATTTAAAGCAACTGGTGCACGTCGAGCTTTCCCCTGCTGGGATGAACCTGCACTCAAAGCCACCTTTACCATTTCTATTAAACACGATGTTAACTACACGGCGTTATCAAATATGCCGGTTGCCAGCCAATCGGAAATCGACGAAACTGATAACAAATTATGGACGACTTTCGAAACAACACCCATCATGTCTACATATTTGGTGGCTTTTGTAGTTTCAGATTATGGTTACGTCAGTAACGATGAAAAAACCTTTAGAATTTGGACTCGCAAAAATATTCTTAATAGTACAGCTTATGCATTGACTGTAGGCAAGTCCGAATTAGCATATTTAGAGAGATACACATCGATTCCGTTTGCTTTACCAAAAATAGATGAAATTTCCATCCCAGACATTGCATTCGATGGTGTTGAAAATTTGGGCATCTTTACTTACAGGTAATATCATGAACGATTATTCATTATATGATTTGATCTTAATGTTTATCATCTGCAGCGAAAAAGAATTGCAATACGTCGACGGCGTAAGCACAACATCTGCAAAACAAGAGGCTGCTACAATTACTTCTCATGAATTCGCTCATCAGTGGTTTGGCAATTTAATCACTTCAACGTGGTGGAAATATGTTTGGCTGAATGAAGGCTTCGCTACTTATTTTGAATATTATATAACGGACAAGGTAAAATTTTTTAAATTGCACAACCTCATCATTTAATTAATCATATTTAATTGCGTTAGGTGGAAGACAATTGGCGTTTGATGGAACAATTCATTGTTCGTATTGTACAATTAAGAGCCTTTATAGCAGATTCTTCCGAAACTACTCGCCCCTTGAATCAGGATGTATCGACTCCAGAAGAAATTTTTTCACTGTTCGATTCAATTACCTATGACAAAGGTACAACTGTTTTTCAGAAATAATTGATTTACGAAAACAATTATCAAATAACGCTTCTCTATGCACGTAGCGGCTTCTGTGATTCACATGATGTCCAATTTCCTGACTCCCCAAGTCTTTCGCGATGGACTCATCAGATACTTAAAGAATAAGTAAGTTTCTTAACTTTTAACACATTTATGATGGTCCTGAACTCATTTCTTAAAATTATTTACAGTGCCTATAAGGCGGTCACGCCCGATGACCTTTGGAGCGCCTCACAAGAGGTATCTGACGAATCTGAAATTCTGCCCCCTGAGATTTGCCTTAAAAAGGTGATGGACACTTGGGTCGAGCAGCCTGGATTTCCACTGATCACTGTCACCAGGGATTATTCAACCGGAACAGCTGATATCAGTCAGGAGAGATATTTTCAATCCGGTGCTAGTGATGACGGTACCAGATGGTGGGTTCCTATCAGTTACACAACTCAGTCTGATCTAGATTTTTCATCAACGTCACCTCGCGAGTGGATCCCTCAAGGAGAAGATAATATAGTCCTAAGCGGATTTGAGTCAACTGATTGGACCATTTTCAACATACAACAATCAGGTAAAATAACCCTTATCAACTTATACCAACGGATGTTGCACTAAATACAAAAATTACACGTGTCGATAAACTATTCGAAATCAATCAACAGGTTACTACCGGGTCAACTACGATGAAACAAATTGGAAATTAATAGCTAATTATTTGGACAGTGACGATTATATAAAAATTCATCCCATCAATCGCGCACAAATCATCGATGATACTTATAACTTGGCTCTTGCCAATCGTATTAGCTTTTCTATATTTTTGGATATTTCGGTTTATATTCGTCGTGATATTGATTACATTTCATGGTATCCGATGTTGACCGCTGAAAATTATTTGTATCAAAAATTAGCAAACACCAGAAGCTTCTCGTTATTCAAGGTACGTATATGACTGCGATATAATTAATGTAGAAAAACTCAATATACTTTAATCTGCTCTTATTTTATTTATAGAGATTTTGTGTGGAAAGATTGGAAAAATCTGTTCTTACTCTCGGATATGACCAGCACAATGACGATGAACATCTTATAAAGCTTCACAGATCAAATATGTTAATGTATGCATGCTTTCTTGACAGTGAAGAATGCAGATCTAATGCAACTGCGAAGCTGGTTGCATATTTGGAAGATCCAATTGCAAACCCGTAAGTTATGACGTTATCCATATGAGGATTGAATTCTACAAAAATCTCTTAACATGATGCATTTTAGGATATCGCCTGATTTGAGAGATTGGGCATTTTCCTCTGGACTTAACAATGCAAATGCACCTGTCTGGAATATGGTTTTAGATCTTTACGCCAAGACCCCTTCTCTCGCCATGCTTTCTCATCTTGGTTTTTCCGAAGACGAAGAAATCTTGACAAACTACATGAAACTGGCAACAACAGATAATTCGACGATACTGAAGGAGCATGCATCTGATGCGTTCGCGTCCATTTATTATGGCAGCGCCAATAACATAAACTTCGCCTTCAACTACCTCATCGACAATTTCGACAAATTATATGCATTGTAATCAATTGTTTACACTGCACTTTTTTGACTTCTGTAAATAGAATTATACAAGCAACAAATTGTTTACTTGTTCCAGCTGGGACCAACCAACAGATGAGATGATTAGGCATGTTTCTGCGTTTGGTAACCTCTTAACAACAAGAGAACAGCTCACGAAGGTTTTTATCGTCAACTATTATACAACCAGTAATTTTATATATATGGGATAGCAGGCATTACTTATTCTTTTTTTATTACTTTCAGTTGAAAGCTTTGGTCGAAAAGCACAGTGATGTATTCGGATCTGATGGACAAACTGCAATCGCCAATGTAGAATCTAACGTCAAATGGACTGATACTTACGAACCAGTTTTCTACGAATGGTTTACTAATTTCTACAAGCTGTAAGACCAAGAAGCTACTTCCGCTGCCGCTGTTAACGTTGACCAACAGCACGGCACATTATCACCTACCATCACACCGTGCATCATGCGTAAAGAAATTTTTCCAAAGTTCTGAGTAGAGCGCAGCGATTTTCCTCAGAAACTTCAGTTTACGCTATTTTGGTTTTGATCTATTATCCTCGCCATGATTTGTCAATTTGCACGTACTACCATAACAAGATACTTGTCAGGAATTTCTTGAACCTGTTGATACTTTAAAATTTGCAGTGACGATTACGAAGTTCTTCGGGCTAGACAGCAGCTAGATCATTCTCGAAATACCAATTGTACGCAGCCAGGTTGTTCAGTTTGAAACGAAGTTTTGGAATTCGATCTGCCTCAGAAGCAGAGGCCTCCACACACGCATTCTTCAGATTTAGACTTTCAACTTCTAATAAACTTAATCAGCTGAAGCTGTTTATTACTTTTGTCCAGACATTGCCTTAAGAAAATACAAATGCGGTCAAAAAGAAGGGTGCAGATATTGTTACTTACTTTCCAATGTTCAAAAAGCATCTACATACAAAGCACGTTATATGGAAATAGTGTCTACAGCTGTCAGCTGTAGTGACACCTGTAGTGACATATACAGAAACAAGTGACGAGCAAATATAACAATGTTTTCTGGCCACACGTAACACGCCAGTTCCAAGCACTGACACCTGTAGTGACATATACAGAAACAAGTGACGAGCAAATATAACAATGTTTTCTGGCCACACGTAGCACGCCAGTTCCAAGCACTTACAACCTGACATTAGGCTGTAACAGTTCGTAAATTTTTAGTTTCTTTCCTAGATAATCCACGTCAACAACAATATCAATTTTATAAACCTACAGGTTGCACCACGGCTATTCCAAGCACAGTTTGCCAATGTCAAACAGTATGTCCACTAACTGGAAGACATATTATGCACAGAGTAGAAAAATTCCTGAGCGGAGAGATTGATCACGAAAATGCTAGATAGTTTGCACAGTTGCACGACTGTACTTTATCAACAACGACAGCTATGCTGACTTCGTGTCATTTGATACCAACTGTTGATACAGAAGTCTCAAATACATTCGTATATATATAAACCACACTTTTATATTCGAATTTGACACAAATAACACGTTTCACAAACAATCTTTTCTAACTACAGTCGCTTAAAAGAGGCTTTCAAGTAATTTTGTTCACACGTCTGTCGCTCTCCTACTAGACAGGACAGGTAAAGAATACATTATAATTATAACTCATTTCGTTTACATCATCAATTATTATTATACAATAAAACACTGCTTTAAACATATTTTTTAATTTTATGGGATTATTTGAAAAAGCAGGTCCAAGGAAATCTCTTATCATGAAGATTCTTCTGATAACGACCCTGCTGTTAGCCGCTGCATCTACAGCTTCTCTTCTCGGCAGCAACGATGCGATTGTTGACAGTGCCAATAAAACTAACTATAGATTGCCAAATAATTCAGTGCCAATTTCATATTCTATCAAATTGATACCGTACATCATCGTAGACAATTTTACATTCGATGGAGAATCTACGATTAAACTTGAGGTTCTAAAATCAAGTTCTTCGATAACTCTTCACATACTAAATCTTACATTGATACCGTACATCATCGTCCAATAAAACTAACTATAGATTGCCAAATAATTCAGTGCCAATTTCATATTCTATCAAATTGATACCGTACATCATCGTAGACAATTTTACATTCGATGGAGAATCTACGATTAAACTTGAGGTTCTAAAATCAAGTTCTTCGATAACTCTTCACATACTAAATCTTACTATAGACGAGACTGCAACATCTTTGGTGTCCAGTGGTAATAAAAACCACAAAATAGCCAGTCATACTTACGATACCAAAAAACAATTTTTGATTTTGAAATTCGCCACCCATTTGCCAACTGGAAATTACACACTGTATTTGAAGTACGTTGGTAATTTACCCGGTGACATTTTGGAAGGTTTCTACAGATCGTCTTATACCAACGACAATGGTAAAACTGTGTATGTATATCATTATTTTATATTAGTCTGTATTATCTAAGAGATATATTAATTTGTACATTATGTTTCCAGCTGGTTGGCTACCACACAATTTGAACCAACCGCAGCACGCCGAGCTTTCCCCTGCTGGGATGAACCTGCACTCAAAGCTACCTTCACTATTTCTATTAAACACGATGTCAACTACACGGCGTTATCAAATATGCCAGTTGCCAATAAATCGACAATTGACAAGACAGATAACAAATTATGGACGACTTTCGAAAAAACACCCATTATGTCTACATACTTGGTGGCATTTGTAGTTTCGGATTATGGACACGTCAGCAACGGGAACAAAAGATTCAGAGTTTGGTCTCGCAAAAATGCTCTTCGCGGTGCAAATTATGCATTGACTCGAGGAGAGTCGGAGTTAAAATATTTAGAAAAATACACATCGATTCCGTTTGCTTTACCAAAAATGGATCAAATTTCTATCCCAGACTTTGCCTTAGGTGCTATGGAAAACTGGGGCTTGGTTACCTATAGGTAATATTATAAACGGTTGTTTATTATATAATTTCCTCTTAATTTTTATCTTTAATACAGAGAACCAGAATTGCTATACGAAGAGGGCGTAAATTCAACATTTACAAAACAAAGTGTTGCAAAAATTATTTCTCATGAATTTACTCATCAATGGTTTGGAAATCTTGTCAGTCCATCCTGGTGGAAATATCTTTGGCTAAATGAAGGCTTCGCGTCTTATTTTGAATTTTACATCACGGATCAGGTACAATTCTTAAAAATTGTCCAAACTCATAATTTAATTAATCATATTTAACTTCTGTAGGTCGTAAAAAATTGGCACTTAATGGACCAATTCATAGTGCGTTCTTTACAAGAGAATACCCTTATAGCAGATTCTTCCGAAACCTCCCATCCCTTGAATCAGGATGCATCGACTCCGGAAGAAATTAATGCACTTTTCGATACAATTACGTACGGAAAAGGTACAACTGTTTTTCAGAAACGATTGATTTAAGAAAACAATTATAAAGTAAGACTGCTCTATGCATGTAGGGGCTGCTGTGATTCACATGATGTCCAATTTCCTGACGCCCCCCATCTTTCGCGCTGGACTCACCAGATACTTAAAGAATAAGTAAGTTTCTTAATTTTTAACCGAAAAAAAATGGATCACAATTTGGATGATCCTGAGCTCATTTCTCAATATTATTTACAGTGCC